TGCCAGGTGTGCTGCCTCACACATACACCCTGTCACAGCACCACATCTCAACGGGTATAAAAACCCGGGCCAGGACACCGGGTCTTTCCAGTAGGACTCCAGTTGTTGCCCGGTGTTGGGGGACGTCGCAGCTAACATGAAGGTAAGGGACACGAGGCGTGAATGATAGGGAACTATCAGCGGGAAAGCGCCAAGCCATTACGACTATATAACACTGGGAAGGGGGGTCAGGATAAGGATTTGGGATGGGACGGGGGGAAAAGGAATAGTGTCCAACCACTTAGACGGTCGGGGATTGAACACCAACCTGCACTGAAGTCTCCTGAAGTGTTCACTGAAGTTACTTATCCACTTAAGTAACTTGTGTATGAGGGATATTTCACTGACGCGACGAGAAGTGAATTGTGAATGTGTCAAAATGAGAGACAGACACTCACAGTACAATAGATTAAGTGATGACAAATAAACATGTTTGTCTTCCAATCAAACAGACAGGAAATTTAAGAGTTCTTAATTACACACACACACGGACACTCGTGTCTTACGTGCAGACGACGAGTCACAATAACGTGGCTGAAGATATGATGACCAAACCACTCACCACAAGATGAATAGACGATGACGTTTCGGTCCGTCCTGGACCATTATCGAGTCGATCGTGATGAGTCGAATGGCTCATCGTAATCGACTCGGTGCTAAACTGCGGTTGTCAGGGGAGTGAAGCGGTGCGGGTTATCTTCAGATCTTGAGATGATTTCGTGGCTTTAGTGTCCCCGCGGCCCGGTCCTCAACCAGGCCTCCACCCCCAGGAAGCAGCCCGTGACAGCTGACTAACACCCAGGTACCTATTTTACTGCTAGGTAACAGGGACATAGGGTGAATGAAACTCTGCCCATTGTTTCTCGCCGGCGCCCGGGATCGAACCCGGGACCACAGGATCACAAGTCCAGCGTGCTGTCCGCTCGGCCGACCAGCTCCCTTTTTTTCCCTCCCTTTCGGCTCCGGGTCAGAGAGCCAATTTCCTATTGGTGTTTTACTTGAGAGGAAGAGATAGGTACATTACACAAGCCAGGAATGGACAGGACTTATTCACTTTGTGATGCATTAGACAGGTCGTGCGTGGGAGTGTAGCTCTAGCTCCTGAGCCCAGCCTCGGGAGGTAATGAAGTCCCGCTTCAGTTATTATACCCATAATTTTGGCGGGATTGTTGCTCCAGCTCCTGGGCCCCCACATTTATAATCCCCTGTATTTTGTTCTATTTTTGAATTAATGTATGGAGTTAGCCTCTCCTGCTTCTTGTAATGGGCGCATGAGGCTATTATATATATACTTGATTCAATGCTGGTAAATGTTTAATTTGATTCATATCGTATAGGTTTATGCTATTCCTAACTGTTGTTTGTATCCATCTTGTCGATTCCTCAAAGTATTTGCATATTTAATTCTTTTCCACATATATGTTTTGATGTCTTCGCTTTTATTTCCATTCGTAAAACCAATCTGGTGACTACTCTCACCCCCACAAAGAATATCTAATTCACCTCCCTGTGGTTCATCTTCGTGTTTAGCTTCTATGTCCCTTCGTCTTGTTTCTGCTTGACCTAACATTATGTCATATTAACTCAATTGATTCCTAAGTATTGTGCTTGTTGGGATCACGTCCCTTTTGGAATTGAAATTTTAATAGCTTAATTAGTTCGTTTTGCCGGAAACAGGCAGCCTGTATTTTGCAATGAGGGTGAGTGTGGCTGATGTGTTAGTGTGGAGGTTGATGGGTGGGTGGATGAGTGTGGATGTTGTTGGATGGATACCTGGTTGATACCTGTTTGATAGGGTTCTGGGAGTTCTACTCCCCAAGCCCGGCTCGAGGCCAGACTTGACTTGTGAGAGTTTGGTCCACCAGGCTGTTGCTTGGAGCGGCCCGCAGGCCCACATACCCACCACAGCCCGGTTGGTCCGGCACTCCTTGAAGGAAACAATCTAGTTTTCTCTTGAAGATGTCCACGGTTGTTCCTGTAATATTTCTGATGCTCGTTGGTAGGACGTTGAACAACCGTGGACCTCTGATGTTCATACAGTGTTCTCTAATTGTGCCCATGGCACCTCTGCTCTGCTCTTCACGTGAGTGTGGATGTTAAAAGGTGGGTGATTGTGACTGCTAGTGTGTATTCACCTGGTTGTACTCACCTATTGTGCTTGCGGGGGTTGAACTCTGCTCTTTCGGCCCGCCTCTCAACTGTCAATCAACAGTTACTAACTACTAATTAATTTTTTCCCACACACACACACACACACACACACACACACACACACACACACACACACACACACACACCTAGGAAGCCATACAGCGGGTAGCAGCTGTCTAACTCCCAGGTACCTATTTACTGTTAGGTAACAGGAGCAACAGGGTGAAGGAAAACCTGCCCATTTTGTTTCGCGCCAGCGCTGTCCATTCAGCCACCAGCGCCCCGTGGGAGATTGTGGATGTTATTGAGTGCGTGAGTGTGAATTTGAGTGTATGGATGAGCGTGGATGTTACCGGGTGGGTGTGGATGTTTGTGTGTGTGTGTGTGTGTGTATGTACTCACCTAATTGTGCTTGCGGGGGTTGAGCTTTGACTCTTTGATCCCGCCTCTCATCCGTCAATCAACTGGTGTACAGGTTCCTGAGCCTACTGGGCTCTATCATATCTACACTTGAAACTGTGCATGGAGTCAGCCTCCACCACATCACTGCCTAATGCATGCCATTTGTCAACCACTCTGAAACTAAAAAAAATCTTTCTAATATCTCTGTGGCTTATTTGAGCACTCAATTTCCACCTGTGTCCCTTAGTGCGTGTGCCCCTTGTGTTAAATAGCCTGACATTATCTACCCTGTCAATTCCTCTGAGAATCTTTTACGTGGTGATCATATCCCCCTTAACTCTTCTGTCTTCTAGCGACGTGAGGTTTAATTCCCGTAGTCTCTCTCGTAGCTCATACCTCTCAGCCCGGGTACTAGTCTGGTGGCATACCTTTGAACTTTTTCCAGTTTAGTCGTATGCTTGACCAGATATGGACTCCATGCTGGAGCCGGATACTCCAGGATTGGTCTGACATATGTGGTATACAAAGTTCTGAATGATTTCTTACATCACACACACATACACAGTGTGTGTGTGTGTGTGTGTGTGTGTGTGTGTGTGTGTGTGTGTGTGTTGGATATAGTCGGCTGGGCGGATGAGTGTGGATGTAGGAGAGTGGGTGAGAATGAATATTGCGAACTAGCGAGTGTTAATCTGGGTGTACTCCAGGTAAGCAGGTGTCGAGGCCGCGGGTGTGACCACAACACAACACAGGCAGATTATGTCAATACACACAAAAACACGGCCGCACCATCCATCCGCCTTCTGCTGCGTCGTCTCGCGAACGCTCCGACAACAGTGTTTTTCTTGGGTTCAAGCGCCCAGACCGCCTTCAGGGGGTTCCATTAATCTTCTCGTGTAACTGAGAACATCTGCTCCATACCGTGCATTCTCGATCTTACCATCTGCTTAGTGTCTTGGTAGGAGCTATTCCACCTGCTCAGTACTTTGTCTCTGTCATTCCACCTGCTCAGTACTTTGTCTCTGTCATTCCACCTGCTCAGTACTTTGTCTCTGTCATTCCACCTGCTCAGTACTTTGTCTCTGTCATTCCACCTGCTCAGTACTTTGTCTCTGTCATTCCACCTGCTCAGTACTTTGTCTCTGTCATTCCACCTGCTCAGTACTTTGTCTCTGTCATTCCACCTGCTCAGTACTTTGTCTCTGTCATTCCACCTGCTCAGTACTTTGTCTCTGTCATTCCACCTGCTCAGTACTTTGTCTCTGTCATTCCACCTGCTCAGTACTTTGTCTCTGTCATTCCACCTGTTCAGAACCTTGTCATCGTCTTGGTCATTCCATCAGCTCAGAACCACCTTTTCTCGCTCATTCCTCGCTCTGCACTTATTCCTTCGCTGGCACTTTAATTCACTCTCGCAATGGTTGGTTGTCTTACACAAAGCAGAAATAAAACATGGGAGGAAATACAAATTTTTTCCCAAGACTCCCAAGATCCGATATAGGTTCCTCTCTCTCTCTCTCTAACCTCAGAGTATCCCAAGTTGTCTCGATGCCTCCATACCTCCAAACTCATAGTCTTAACCGCTTACATGTTTTGGTAACGAGAACGCCTGTCCATCTGATCATGCGCGTGCGTCAGTGTTAGTCAAGAAGCCTCCCATGCACCCTCAGCCTCTTCCTCTGCGCATGCAGCGATGGGCGACTTGCCTCGAGCTAGATACGGCCGCTTGCAGTCTCTGTAGAAGATGGCTATAAGAGCTTTATGGCAGCTGTCAAGCAAATTGACGATTACCAAGTGAAGTTAAATTGGTCCCAGGGAGGCTTCAGGGTCTTCCAGTAGCTCTAAGACCGTCGCTGTGACTTCTGTTCTCAATAGTGATTCTTGAGTACTAAGACATCAGCACCTTTTGGCTTTCTGGAGAGGGTCAATTATATGTTGACTTGTCGACTGGTGTTTTGGACATAAAGTGATGTCTTGAGAGTCAGTCCTGTCTAAGGTCTCAAGTCAGTCCTGTCCAAGGTCTCAAGTCAGTCCTGTCCAAGGTCTCGAGAGCCAGTCCTGTCCATGGTCTCGAGAACCAGTCCTGTCCAAGGTCTCGAGAACCAGTCCTGTCCAAGGTCTCGAGAGCCAGTCCTGTCCAAGGTCTCGAGAGCCAGTCCTGTCCAAGGTCTCGAGAGCCAGTCCTGTCCATGGTCTCGAGAGCCAGTCCTGTCCAAGGTTTCAAGAACCAGTCCTGTCCAAGGTCTCGAGAGTCAGTCCTGTCCAAGGTCTCGAGAGTCAGTCCTGTCCAAGGTCTCGAGAGCCAGTCCTGTCCAAGGTCTCGAGAGCCAGTCCTGTCCAAGGTCTCGAGAGCCAGTCCTGTCCAAGGTCTCGAGAGCCAGTCCTGTCCAAGGTCTCGAGAGCCAGTCATGTCCAAGGTTTCGAGAGTCAGTCCTGTCCAAGGTCTCGAGGATAACGTCCCACGCCGAGTAGTCGAGGCTTCACCTCTTTAGCAATCATAACTCTTCCTAATATCTCCCATACACCCCTATTATTTCAGACACGTCAAGTGGTGCGAGGACAGACGTCAAGGAAGTGTCCCAATCAACTTCTTCTGTCACCCTCGAAATAATGTTGCTGTAATATAAGAATGGAATAATAAATTTTGCAAATACAACTAAATCCTAAACAATACAGGTCGTAGTAGAATAATGCCATGCAGACTTGTCGCTTCATAATAGTACATGTTCCTGAGCGCACACACACACACACACTGTGGGTCATGTGGGTACAATGAGTACCCACATGAGCCACAGGGACGTTAGAAGGAACTTTTTCAGTGTCAGAGTAGTTAACGGATGGAATGCATTAGGCAGTGATGTGGTGGAGGCTGACTCCATACACAGTTTCAAATGTAGATATGATAGAGGCCAATAGGCTCAGGAATCTGTACACCTGTTGATTGACGGTTGAGAGGCGGGACCAAAAAGCCAGAGCTCAACCCCCGCAAGCACAAATAGGTGAGTACACACACACACACACACACACAGACGCACCTATAATGATAGTCTTCCAAAATTGGGCCTGTAAGTTATGAAGATATGTAAAAATCTTTTTGAATTTTACTTTAACTAAAAAATTCTTCTTATACTTGACAGATGTTCCAGAGAGCTGTAGTTGTGCTCCTGAGCGCTGCCGCTTCCCTCGCTCAGATTCGTGAGTAATTTCTAAGCCTCTTGACAAGTTAGGTAAGATAAGGTAATTATGAGGAGAAAGCGATATGACAATTTAACTATAACCCACTTGAAGGAAAATGAGAACAAGGAGCCGGGATATAAGGACTGTGCCCTTATATCTCGGCTCCTTGTTATCTCTTATAAGGATAAGAGATATTGCTCCTTATATCTCTTATAAGGATATAAGGACGGGGAAAAAACTGTGCCCAACCACTTGGACAATAGAGGGATCGAACTCCGCCCCTGCAAGAAGCGAGATCATCGCTCTGGTGAAGGATAAGATCCTTCTGTAAACCGAGCTACCTTCTTTGTCGATAATAGAAAGGCGTGAAGGAAATAGTATACAAAAAATTAGTTATTTAATGGCCACTTTCAGCAAAAATGAGAACTGAAATTAGTTTAATATTTGAAAAACACAATTAAACTTCCTTTTCGGTTGCCTGTGAACCATGGTGGTGGGGGGGGGGGACCATGGTGGGGAAAAACCGTGGTGGGGGAAGAACCATGGTTAGGTGGGGGGGGGGAGTCTGTGAAGCATCGCCCCACTAACATCCGACAGAATCAGTCCATGTTCTCTGTTTGTAGCTTATCAACTCGACATCAATTCAGGCAGAACTCTTCGATAATCTGAATCTCGCTATTGCTGGTCCTATACAATCTCCCCCACCATGGCAAACAACATTGATGCATTAATACGTCAACATTGATCCTTTGTTAATCACGTTACCCTTTCCTCATGTCCTCGGTAAACATGCACGAGTGACGATAAATAATATCATCGCAAATCAATGTATTTCTGTGCTTTTTTTCTTTTGCATTCTCGATACAGTATATTAATTGGAATTTCCTTGCAGCTTCACAGTCCCGAATGTCAGCTCTCATGCAGATGAGAACTCACAATAACGTGACTGAAAAAGTTGACCAAACCACACACTAGAAAGTGAAGAGACGACGATGTTTCGGTCCGTCCTGGACCATTATCGACTTGATAATGGTCCATTACGGACTGAAACGTCGTCGTCTCTTCACTTTCTAGTGTGTAGTTTGGTCAGCTCTCATGTTTATTACCGCGCGACATTCGTATTCTCGCCTGCAGATGGCGTGGGTGTCCGGGCCTCTCTCTGGACCCCGTCACCTGAGCCTCACACCACCGTCACAACCAATGATTTATCCAGCTACCTGAAGCAGTGTGTCCCCGGGGACCTCATACCTGGCCCCACCTGCAACTCGTTTTTCAAGTGAGTCACGATAGCAGATCATAGGTGTTCGCTTTTCCCGTATTAGGTTATGTCAGAGAAGTTTAGGAGAAAATAGGCTGGTTAATCTTAGTTTACCCGGAATGTCCAGTTTACAATTTTAAATAATCAGCCTATACTGCACCTCAGCAATTTTTTTTTATCGTCATCGTAACGTGCTTATTGCTATACGAATAGTGGGGTATGCCTTCAGTTCTTGTGCCTATCGTGTGATGACTGTGTATCCCGTTTTCTATCACTCACCACTGGATAGGTATGGAGCCCATAACTCAGTCTTAAAATTATTTCACACCGACACGATACAGTTATTAGGGGGGGGGGAAGAGTCCCCGTCTTTTGTGGGTCTTGACTGGGATAGGAACCCGGCGGGTGGTCAAAGTCCCTTTTCGTTTCTCCGATATTTTTGTTTTTCCTGGTGAATTTGAAATGGGGGGGACGGTCTTTTTAGTGTTTTTGTTTCCTGTTTCAGTGTTTTTTGTTTTGCTTTGTATAGATTTAGCCAAATTATCTTTGAAGCTCAAGGGACAGAAACCTCTTTAACTTGACACAGCTTTCAACGGAAGCCTTCTGCTCATTTATTAACTGGAACGCGGCGAAGAACTTTGAGATGCAGAAATTGTCTTGTGGAAACGTAATATTAATACATGTAAATGTTTTGACATGTAAATGTGAATTTATATGTGAATTCACAACGAGTATACCCGAAAACAAGAGTTTAATTTATTCCTGAACTATGCTGATGATTAAGTGTCGTGTACTTGCTGGTTGGTTAGGAAGATATTTTGACGACACTCTGCCTACCACAGATACGGTAGGTGGGATATGAATAGATGCCTACCTCTGAAAACTCTGACACTCTGCCTACCACAGATACGGTAGGTGGGATATGAATAGATGCCTACCTCTGAAAACTCTGACACTATGCCTACCACTGAAACTCCTTTTCAGAAAACCTCTGGAAACAAGGAATAGGTTCCCTAGATTGGAAATATGCAAATGTTACTCTTATTTTACAAAGAAAGTAGACAGAGCTCGGCAGAAAACTACCGTTCGATCAGCTTGACATCACACATTTACAAGCTCACGGAGAGAATCCTAAAGGGAGGGAATCATTCTCCGTCTCACAGTGAACAATCTTGTAAAATCAACGCAATATGGATTTATTAAAAAATAGATCCTGTCTTACATATCTGCTCACATTTATGGAAACGGTAAACAGCTATTTAGACCAAGGACTTCCGGTAGGTAGATGTAAATATACATGAGTTCTGTTAAAGCTTTTGAACTAGCTCATCAAGATTGTAACTTTTCTTAGCTAAATGAATTGTGGGGTTCAGTCCCTGAGCCCATTATGTGCCTCAGTAACCCTTTCCACTACCACCCACAAGATGGGTATGGGGTGCATTATAAATGAACTAAACTAACTTTTGACGCGGTGCCACATGAAAGACTGGCAAGGAAGTTACGGGCATATGGAAAAAAAACAGAATACTGGAAAATAATAAACCAACGGTTAAAACAATGAAAATAAAGGGTCGTGCTAAAACAGGAAGCTAGAACTCTGACTGGAGAAATGTGTTAAGTGGGGTACCGCAATGTACTGCATTTTGGGCAACCCATTTTGTCACATACATTAATGACAGATATTATATATTACAAACCACATCATCAAATTTGCAGATGACACTAAGATCTATGGTAGAATGGGAAGTGTAAATAATACCGAGACCTTACAATGAGATGCAGGCGATGAGTCACAATAACGTGGCTGAAGTATGTTGACCAGACCACACACTAGAAGTTGAAGGGACGACGACGTTTCGGTCAGTCCTGGACCATTCTCAAGTCGATTGTGAATCACAATCGACTTGAGAATGGTCCAGGACGGACCGAAACGTCGTCGTCCCTTCAACTTCTAGTGTGTGGTCTGGTCAACTTACAATGAGATCTACATGAACTCCACAAATGATCAGAAGACTGACAAATACTTTTTAATATCGATAAATACAAGACCTTGCATGTGGTTCATAACAATCCACGTCAAAACTACAGAATTTACAGCACTACCTTGCAACAGATTGATGAAGAAAAGGACCTTGGAGTCAGAATCCATCATTCACTGAAAGTTGCGCAACAAGTGGAACGACAGTAAGAAAACGCGAACCAAAAACTAGGAATAATCAAGCGTACCTTTACGTCTAAGGAAAATAAGGTAGTTATTCAGCTGTATAAATCTCTGGTGAGCCCTCATCTAAATATTGTATCTAGGCATCTCCAGCAGCCCGTTCTCCTATAAGGTCTTCAAACATCAAGAATCTGTGGTACTAAAGTATCCTATCGAAACCTATATCAGAGGACCCAAAAGAGAAAACGGGATAGTGTGTCAATTTCGCGCTACCATTTTCTAGTATGACAATTTTTGGCCTTAGGTAGAGTATACGTCAAAATGCGACGTTTTATTACGAGGACGGGTTGTTTGTGCGATTAGGATCTGTTTATTATCTTGAATAGAATGTTAAGTTTAGGCTAGATTAGGTTGCTTAGATTATATCTCACTACGTTATATAAAGTTAAGCATGGGATTAATACCAAATTATGTATTATATTAGTTATTATATGCATTTTCCCCCTTCACCTCCTGTACGCACCGAGGGAAATGTTAAAAGTTTACCCAAAATATAAGTTCGTTTTCTGCGTTAACTTTCATCATGCTTTAAAATTAAGGCCTAACTCTTTCATTCTGCATTACTATTTATTTACATATTTTTATATTTTGTTTCACGTATATATACAAGAGTTCTTATATTCTTGTACAGCCACCAGCACGCATAGCGTTTCAGACAGGGTCTTAATACTAATTTTCCCCGGAATACGACCCGCTAAATCGTTTAACAACCAGGTACCCATTGAACAAATCCACAAGGGCCGTGGATTTGTTCATTTGATGCATCACGTTAGTGTGATCTCTGTGTGTAAAGGTACCCATTCACTGCTGGGTGAACAAAGGCTGTTCATGGCTTGGTGAACAGAAGTTAAGGATTCGCGCCCAATCGATCCTCCCCGGCCAGGATACGAACCCAGGCCAAAGCGCTCGCGAAGCGCCGGGGAGTGTTTTACCACTGCGCCACTGGGACTGAGGGAATCATTTATAATAAAAATACTACTACTACTACTACTAACAACAATATGAATACGTTTTAACAAGGTCTGGCATCCTGTGTATATATTTACGTTAGGCATATATCGAGACCCCCCCCCCATGGTCAACCTTTCCCAGAATGCAACCCCCACAACAGTTGCCTAATTCCCGGATACTTATTTGTTTCTAGGTGAACAGATGCATTAGATAAAGGAAAACGTCCCCACCATCATTTCTCTCCCGCCTGGGATTCGAACCTATGATTCCCGATTGTGAGTAGAGAACGAGGGCCACCATCTAGCTAGCGTCATCGACGGGGACAGGAACTAGCGGTTTGTCAAGCGTCCTCCCATTTTTCCTGATGATTTTTCCAGGTGGATTTTGAACTGCAGTGTTGTCTATGGCTCAAGGCATTTACGGCATCGGCGGGTAGGCGGTTCCACGAGTTTATAAACTATCGGTTAAAAAGCATCTACATTCAAGCCTTGCTATTGGTGGAGCAACTACCAATCAGCAACCCAGCTACAATCACCACTGTAGTTCCTGCTCTATTCCACCTTGTAGACCGGATGGCCGTTACAGATAGATTGTCACTACAATCAACACACTTCTTGCTGCAAATGGTTTGATATCCTGTTTAGAACTAGACCACTCAATTATATATATTTCTAGTTTAAATCGTTTTTAGATACTCTAAAACGATAAAAATATGCATCTACCGATGTCTCTCATAGGGCTGATTAGTTTTTATAATTAAGTTCACCTCTTGCTTATTTTCCCGTTACTCAGCTTTTGTGAATCTCAGCCATTTCTGTGACCCCTTCGCAGGTGTGTTGGAAGTTCAGTGCACGCCACCAGACGCGTGAAGTTTGAGTGTGCTGCGGGCACGGTGTTCAACAGTGAAATGGGAACTTGCGTGCACGGGCAGGTGTCGCAATGTTCGCCTGAGGGACCCAGTATCGAGCACCCAGCCCCCGCCAGGCCCCCAGCACCCGTCTGGCCTCCTGGGAACACTTGGCCCACCTCCTCCCCCGCGCCTCCACCCGCCGGATCATGCACAACCTACCAGGTACCCGACTCACTGATTGATTGATAAAGATTGATAAAGATTAAGCCACCCAAAAGGTGGGACGGGCATGAATAGCCCGTAAGTGGTGGCCCTTTTGAGCCATTACCAGTATCAATACATGATACTATTGGAGATCTGTGGAGGTGCGGCTGCACCCTGCGTGACGGGAGATGCCTCCCGTCCGACTCACTGGCCATGACAACTGGTATATATCAGGTACTAGGAGGGAGTAGATATAGAGGGATAGAGTAGATTAGGCTGAGATGTATTTAATTGTCTCAATAACGTACTTAACTTGAACCAGATACTAAATTAGGCATTATATTACGGGCTATTCATTTCCGTGGCACCTTTTGGGTGGCTTAATCTTCATCACTCTATCAATCAAGCAGGATAAAGTGCGTGTCAGGTACTCTACTGTCTTCAGCCATGACACTGGGTAAATGTTAGGTATATGACTTTGTTAAAAGCATAACAGAGGCTACATACCAGGTGCTTGTCACTCTGGAGGAATGACAGTGGGTAAACTCAACACGATTAATATCAGTTTTGGCCTTTTACTGGATGCAAATATTTTGAAAATATCTAAAACCTATAATGATTTGTCATATGTGAAAAAAAACTAATGGCAATGCAGGCCGAAAACACAGTTGTTGCTCTGGCGAAGTGTGTGATGTTGATATTTTGCCTGTCACTTTGTTCCAATTAAATTAAGGACAAGTTTGGTTCAAAATGGCGTCAGGGAAAGCAAGTATTTACCAATGAACAATTAGTGAGCCTTAGTAAAAACCATTGCATTGCCCTAATAAAGTCCATTTCAGTGCCCCAGTAAAGACCATTGTCGGTGACTAGGTCTAGGTCAGTGCCTGGACCTAGTCACCCCACTCCGGAGTACTCCATAGTCACTCCTTACTCTGGTACCCCCACAGCTGGACCCCTCGACGGTGTACGAGTGTCTGGAGCCCGGGAGCTTCCAGTCTCACCGTGACTGCCTCAGGTTCTACCGGTGCATCGTGACCATGGGCTGCGTCATCAAGGGTGAGGCTTCGAGGAGGCTTCAGCAATGCTTAAGCAATTGTATTAATTATATATATATATATATATATATATATATATATATATATATATATATATATATATATATATAAATATAAATATAAATATAAATATAAATATATATATATATATATATATATATATATATATATATATATATATATATATAAATATAAATATATATATATATATATATATGTCGTACCTAATAGCCAGAACGCACTTCTCAGCCAACTATTCAAGGCCCGATTTGCCTAATAAGCCAAGTTTTCATGAATTAATGTTTTTTAGTCTACCTAACCTACCTAACCTAACCTAACCTAGCTTTTTTTGGCTACCTAACCTAACCTTACCTATAAATATAGGTTAGGTTAGGTTAGGTTGGGTTGGTTAGGTTCGGTCATATATCTACGTTAATTTTAACTCCAATACAAAAAGTTGACCTCATACATAGAGAAAAGGGTTGCTTTATCATTTCATAAGAAAAAAATTATAGTAAATATATTAATTCAGGAAAACTTGGCTTATTAGGCAAATCGGGCCTTGAATAGTAGGCTGAGAAGTGAGTTCTGGCTACTAGGTACGACATATATATATATATATATATATATATATATATATATATATATATATATATATATATATATATTTATATTAATACTGTATATATAAGTATATTTTGCACAATTATTATTCTTTCATAATAAATGTATGGTCCAATCTTGAATTTTGCCAACTTCAATGGCCAGGAACCATAAATTAAAATGATATATTTCATGCTGGATCTAATGTGAGAGTTTATAAAAGTGATATGTCGCTGGCTTTTTTTTGTTAACTCTACCATACTCATCATTAGAACACATGTTGATGGAAGTCTTTTTTTTTCTGCAAGTCAAGTCACAAACAACCTCGCAGTGCTCCCTTTGTCCCCCGTGTCTCGAAGTTCGTTCGTTGCAACTTGTTTTCATAACGTGTCACTCTTTCCCCAGGGTTCCTGTACCAGTGCCCGGCCGGGTACCTCTTCGACGACAACACCAAGCGTTGCCAGAGGGTGGAGCTCCTCGGGCCATGTGACAAGGCTGCCGACGCCGGAGTTCAGATATATGAAATCCAGCCCATCGGTCAGCTCCAGGCCGATAGCCTCGACCAGTTCTTCAGCTCCGAAACGTACTGGGACTTCATGCCCTTTTTGCCCAATCAGACGCAGAAGATCGTACCAATCAAGCCCTCAAACTTCTCACGAGGAGCGGGGACAAGGGTCGGGGTTTTCATGTCTGACAACTAAGAACGCCGTGTCTGCAGCTCTCTACGTGGGAGCCAGGAACGCCGTGTCTGCAGCTCTCTACGTGGGAGCCAGGGACGCAGTGTCTGCAGCTCTCTACGTGGGAGCCAGGGACGCCGTGTCTGCAGCTCTCTTCGTGGGAGCCAGGGACGCCGTGTCTGCAGCTCTCTATGTGGGAGCCAGGGACGCCGTGTCTGCAGCTCTCTACGTGGGAGCCAGGGACGCAGTGTCTGCAGCTCTCTACGTGGGAGCCAGGGACGCCGTGTCTGCAGCTCTCTACGTGGGAGCCAGGGACGCCGTGTCTGCAGCTCTCTACGTGGGAGCCAGGGACGCCGTGTCTGCAGCTCTCTACGTGGGAGCCAGGGACGCCGTGTCTGCAGCTCTCTACGTGGGAGCCAGGGACGCCGTGTCTGCAGCTCTCTACGTGGGAGCCAGGGACGCAGTGTCTGCAGCTCTCTACGAAGGAGCAAGGGACGCAGTGTCTGCAGCTCTTTACGAACGAGCTAGAGCTGCCGTGTCTGCAACTCATTACGAGGCAGCTTGGGGCGCCACTTTTAATGTTCTCAGCGGTTGAACAAAGGACGCCGTTTCTATATATAAAAAACGGCATTGAATCGTCTGGATAAAAGAAAGATATAGGCACGAGGACTTTTTTTTCCAGGGTTCTTTCGCAGCACGACGGAGTTTACAAGACTCTCCTTTCGCACAAACGTTCCTGAAATTCTGTTTTATAAAAATTATATGTTTACATTTTGAGCAGTCGGATATTTGGCTGGTTTCTGGTAAATAATGTGACTATTTGGTTAATGACTGTTTCCAACACATAAGATTTTGTCAATTTACAACTTAGAAAACATCAAATTACATCTTGAGCAAATAAAGCGTTGACTTTTTTCTCCCACTTTAATTCAACTAATTTCTACTTCGATTTGAATGCGATAATTAGTGTTCTTTCTATAAATTCGGAAAAGGACTTTAAGATTTTAATGTCCATTAATTGTAACATATTCGTGATAAAAAATAATATCTAAAAATTTTACCTTGTTTGAATATCGATAAAACCCTAGCGAGGGTCTTACTGGTATTTAAGCAATACCAGAAACAAACACTTCACTGAAGTTTTCCCCACTGAGGCAAGTCTGAGTGGTGGTCCTTTTTTTTATTATTATTTTCTACCACAGACGTGGCCACACATTTACAATGCTAACCATCATATATACATTTTCTTCTGTCCTCCATGGACAGGGTTAGAGATCTGTTAAACATATAATTCAGGGATTTATTGAACAATCAACCATAGATTGTAGTGCTTTTAAAATTCTAATCTAACCTACACACAAATACATAGATGCTCAGATTTACGTCTGCCCTACATAAAGTGTACGATGTGTCTTTTACATAGTGTCATTAGTCCTGGTAGATCCATCTGGAACGACGTCAGGACCAGGATTACTTTTAAGCATATGAGCACCCACTTTCGAAACCTCTACATCTTTCACCATGGCTGTTTTACTTGCATTTACTAATCCGTTTAAGAGCTCCGATGGACTAAGGAAATTGTTTGTAACAGTAATAATCACGGATTGCCATGTTTCGATGCTGAAAAACTGTTTAATAAAAGTCAACAAAGTCGACGTGTTTGTTCAGTAATGCATAGGTTTCGTCACTGAATGGGTAAATGCACTATTTACGATAAATATAATTAAAGCTTTAGTAAATCAAAGTTTTCAATCTTTGCTTTTGACTGCAAGTTATATGATGATGAGATTAATTTCTTGTAAACGTTCTTTCAATCTAACGCTTTTCCAAGCAAGTATTTAAAAAAAGAGAGAACAATTGAGGAAATTGGTATGCGCAAATTCTTACCCATCTTTAAAATTCCCACAGTGCTTATATTGGTATGTTAGCCATCATGTTTTCAAAGAATATCAGATCATTACACATTCTTATTCACAAATTAGCTCTCTGTGCTTACCAATAATCATGCTATTGGAAGCTATTTAAAATACCGAGACCCTTTATTCCCTTATCTAAGACCAGGTGTTTACCTTTTTTCAATGTACGAATTGTAACGTTCGATACGTCGGTGGAACACTTTACGATATCTTAAACAGTGTCTGTGAGATTATGGGTGTCGGGGGAACACTTTACGATACCTTAAACAGTGTCTGTGAGATTATGGGAGTCGGGGAACACTTTACGATATCTTAAACAGTGTCTGTGAGATTATGGGAGTCGGGGAACACTTTACGATATCTTAAACAGTGTCTGTGAGATTATGGGAGTCGGGGAACACTTTACGATATCTTAAACAGTGTCTGTGAGATTATGGGAGTCGGGGAACACTTTACGATATCTTAAACAGTGTGTGAAATTATGGGTGCCAGGGAACACTTTACGATATCTTAAACAGTGTGTGAAATTATGGGTGTCGGGGGAACACTTTACGATATCTTAAACAGTGTGTGAAATTGTGGGTGTCGGGGGAACACTTTACGATATCTTAAACAGTGTCTGTGAGATTATAGGTGTCTCTTACCGCACAGATTTCTTCCTTGGGCAAGTTGCGTCGTCTCATATCCTCGTCCTCACTGTGAAGCCGCGAGCCTTCCTTTCACTCACAGCTATTGTACTATACTGACTTCCAGTTGTTGTGAACAAGACTTTAACATCTTTGAATCATTTCACATCGCTAAAATGAGACCAGAGTGGAACAACTCAGAGTCCTCGACTTATTTGTTTACTCACTAATGTCGTTTTCTCAGCCCGTCCTCAGAACTGCCCGAAACGCTTTGCGTAATAGTGGCTTTAGGCATTGTATGTACTAGCTCTATCTATAAAGCCAACAAACTTTGTAAAATCTCTTTATGTATGTACCTTACCTAAATAAAAATTATTATTATTATTATAACAAAGACCCAAAAGTGATTCCATGCACCCGCTAAACCCCCTGTTTATGAATGAAAAACGGTTTACCCACGACTCACAACTGATGACGTTCGAACACTTCCGGAACAAGTGCTTCACTGACGAATTTTGTTCGAAGCACAACGCTATAAATGCTTCACCCACGTACTACAAATACAAATAATCGCCAACAGAACCTAAACACCTAACCTAACCTATGCCTATATATGCACAATATGCTAATATATTATAATATTAATTTATATCTGAGAAAATTCCTGTTTAGAATGAACAACATGTGAAAATTTATGAATGCGTCTGTAGGGTCGACCGCTGGATGTAATGGACTTGAGTCGAGGACGGGTTGTGTCCAAGACTCATTCATGAATATGGACATATTGTGCATTAAAAATAAGTTTATTCCCATGTATAAAATAATATTATTAGATATTCAAGTTCTATGTATAGTTTGACGTAGGTTAGGTGTTCAAGGTCTGTTGGCTATTATTTGTATTAGAAGTAATTGGGTGAAGCATTTACAGCGTTGTAATTCGAGCAGAGGTAGTCAGCGAAGCACTGTTCGAGAAATGTTCGAACATCATCAGTTGTGAATCGTGTGGAAATAGTTTTACACTAAAAAAAAAGAGGGGGGTTTGCAGGAGGATTAACGAGCATTAGTCCTTGTTAAGGAGGACGAGTTGAGAGATAGAAAAAATATATGTATATTGGTTTACAATTCACAAATTATTGTCATTTCATGTTAAATCAAAACACATTCCCATATTCGTGAAACTTTTATTCCATACTAACACACCTTCGTCGTGGGACAGCGAGAGAACGGCAAGAACAACAATTAGGATATACATAAATAAATATAATAAATAGGAAATAAATAACACAGCATAAAAGGCAACAATAGGCTACTGTTTGGCACATTAAATTTTCTAAGGCTTGAATGTTCTTGTTGGCTTCGTCTAAATAAAATAAACCTACGTATAGATATGTACAATAAACATTTCCTTCCATGTATATGTAAAAAAATCCATTAATAATCAAAGAAATCCAATTACACATTCGTGAAAATTGACCTCTGAGAAGCCGCCTAAAACTAATAAACGTAATTTCAACTCTTTACAATACAAATTTAGAGCCATCCAGGAACACTCAAGTGTTAATGCCTTTGCAAGGAAAAACGCTGTGAATGCCCGCAGCTTGCTGTATAATTACTGAGCACACCTGTCTCTGTATAACTACTGAGCACACCTGTCTCTGTATAACTACTGAGCACACCTGTCTCTGTATAACTACTGAGCACACCTGCCTCTCAAACAGGTAAGGTTTGCAAATAATTTTGCGAATAAGTTACAAGACAAGTTGGGCAGTGATCTGCTCCACGATAGGCTGTAAACTGTGCATTAACAAAAACAATAACACCATCGGTGAATTACCGGGGTCTGTTAACTATATTAGACTGACCTTGTAACAAGGGTGGACGCAGTGGGTGTGGTGGTGGGTGTGGTGTCTGTGGTGGTGGGTGTGGTGGTGTCTGTGCTGGGAGTGGTGGTGGGTGTAGTTGCATATGAATCTGAAGCTAGCAAGTGTAGTTGTGCATGTTAGACACCCTAGTAACACTTGTCATTAAAGTGTTGGTGCTTGACCTTGAGCTTGAAGCAATGAGACCCTTGAAAATCCTAATATCCATGTGGAATAGTTTACCCCCAAAATATAACAACAAAATTATCAAAAGTTCAACCTTATAAAGCTTTAAAAAAAAATGAGCAATTACTTTCCTTTAAAACCTATGGTTTACGCCCAGTATAGACCGTTGTTGGTGAATTTGGGTTTGGATTTCTTTGTGATGGTGGTTCTGTATATATACTTATCGCTCCACCTGATAATATACGTTCTCCTTGTATATGAATCCTATTACAGTTATGCTCACATACAATATCAAGCAAACAGGAATAAAAAATTCTAATATAACAAAAAGAAATATATATATTTATATAGGGGATACCACCTCTGGATGTGTATATATATATATTTTTTTCATTCATTTGGATAATCACAGATTCGAACTTAGGTCTGAAAAATATTTGTATACATATGCATATCCACTACGGTTGGAGAATGTAAAACACACAACCGGACAAGAATGAGAAACAGCTTCGAACTGGCGTTCGAGAAGTGACAAAGAAAAGATTAACGTGACTGAACCCCTTATACTTGCCTTCTGACAGACTGTACACAGTTTAACGCCAACATGTTTAGCTTGAGATGAACGTGTATGAGAGTGCGTGTATGGCGTGCTTGTAGGCTGTGTGGCCTATCGTATACAAGTTAGTCTAAGCTATAAATGAAGAATTTCAGAGGCAATACTTTCCTGTTGATTACAAAAAATGTATTGTCTGACACATTTCAGAATGGGCGGGTCTTCCGTAGTAGTGACAACTTAATTGTTTACGATTGGGATCGAAACCATTTTAACCAGTCAGGTACCAATGTGGGACCTCTGTGCGAGAGTCGAGAACTTGCTAACTACTCTAAAGAACCAGGACATCTATTCACAAATTGTCTGAGTTCAAAATAACTCCAGGAGCTCATCAGGTAAGAAATGAGTGGATCATCTTTGGGGCGTCGTCTGTTCTATCTCCTACTTTCAACTAATTTCTTTATAACGTACATAAAAACTTATCTAGAGCTGCTTTGCCTATCTTCGTGTAAGACAAGACAAATATACTGGCGGGAAGCCAGGCGATACAACTGAGCATAGTCACGAGGGCCTCCAAAAATGCTCTTGTAATGCCAACAATAATTATTGTAATCTACCAACTGGCAGCTACCGTCCTTCCCCTGCAGTATTTAGTACTCAGAACATCACAGAAAAGTTAAAACATGCTTATTTCCACGGTGAAGCACCACCAAGGCACACGCGGGTTGTCCTCGGGCGACAAGGTTGCTGGGACTGGTTATTCCCTGCCGAAGAAGCGTATGAGATCGGCGGAAGAGAGCCGTATGGCGCCCGATAGACGCAGATGGGCGGCCTGCAGCTTCTTCATACAGGGCGGGAGATCCGCCTCTAGCTTGCACCTCTGCAGCGGTTCAGAGTAGCCGTAGCCGGGAGGACACTTGTAGCGCAGACCTGCAGACATGGAGAAGAGAGTGAGAAGGCGGGTGGCTGGACTTTGTTTACAATTGATCATATGAAAGAGTAAACAAACGGAATGTCATTGAACAAACGTCTTCTCAATAAAGATGCAAACGATATAAATTTCGAGTCTTTTTCATGGGTTGACTTCCCTTATTTTACTTCTTTGATTTCAGAGGTTAAATGTGAAAAGCAGGGGCTTCTTCGATAAGAAATGTGGGTTATAGAAGCATATTTAATTGTATTACAACTCGTGGAAGGGTGAAATTTAACCTACAACAAACGAATGTAGAACAAGAATACTGTAGTGGAACCCATAAGAGCTGATGATGCTACCCTCTACAGCACCATAGCCACGCCTGCAGATGGCTTCCACAGTGTGAAATCCACACATAATACTGTTTTAGCCTCCAGGGCGCTGCTGTTATCCGCACAGGTCACAATGAATTCACACGAGGGAGTAATACATTAACACACTTCATATACAGATAAAAAACTGCATCATGAACTGCACTCGCTCAATCCCTCGGGGGTTGTTCAGAACTATTGACTTATTAACTACGTGCATAGGTGATATACTAAACATAATAGATACCCTTAAAAAGCTTCATAGAAAACACCGACCTTACTTAACCTTGTTAGTATGTTCAGATAAGCATCTTATTGCTTCGTAATTACAATTATTACTTAACCTATACCTATAATAGGTTAAGTAACAATTGTAATTACGAAGCTATAAGATGCTTATCTTAAGATACTAACAAGGTTAGGTAAGGTCGGTGTTTTCTATGAAGCTTTTTAAGGGTATCTATTATGTTTAGTATGTCACCTATGCACTTATTTAATAAGTCAATATTGACTTTACGAATTTGCGAGAACGGGTTGCAACAACAGAAAAACTGTTGCATGCAAGAGTCCAAGAGTCCAAGAGTCTCACCTTTAAGTTTGCCTTCCAGAGTCTCGAAGCACCTGTAGAAGCGGACGCAATCACCTTCGAACGGATAGTAGCCGGGCGCTGGGCAATCGTACTGGCTTGTTTTATCCAACTGTGGAGGTAGAGAACAGCCGTTAAAATAACAGATAAATGAATTAAAGAACTAGGTGAAGCTCTCTCTACTTACACTCTGCTTCCCAACCGTATGTTTAACAGTGAGAAGAGGGATACAGGGTTAACAGTGAGTACGAGACAGAACAATGGGACACTGCAGTATTGTGATTAGAAATGCTCTTGCGACTGCCAAGGAAAATGAGAGAAAAGACAATGGGAGAATACTTGGCATGGATGGTACACGTACAAGGAGTCGCAGTTGGAAACTAAGTACTCATGTGAGCTACAGGCATATTATAAATATGTTTATCATGGCGAAAGCAGTAAATAAATGAACTGAACAAGGGAGGGAAGTGGCAGAGGAAGTTTCAGTCGTATGTAGATAAGACAAAGGTGCCGTGAAGCTGTACACCGGTTGAGTGAAACTGTACACCAGTTGAGTGAAGCTCAGGCCAGGTGAAGGCAAAATAAATGCCAATAAAATTTACTGAGTCGCTTGGTTTGTTTCACAAGGTTGAAAATATAATTGTTATTCAATATCTCAGAGCTAGATTTCATAGCGGTATTTATTTGAACTAAAACACATAATTCGTGAATTTTGAAGCTAAAAAAAACTAATTTAGTTACAAATTTAAGTACACAATTTCCAAACTATGAACGTAAAAATTTTGTTGTTGTTTGCACGACTCGATGTACACTCTCGTCCCCAATTACTGCTGGGTGAACAGGGATGAATAGTTAAGAATTAGAGTTCAGTCGTCTCTGACCAGGGTTCGAACCCCAAGCCGATAGGGCAGAGCTACTACTGGGGCTCGACAAAAGCTGATCACGTATACTACCTTAATAAACTTGAGAAAAAATGATTCTGAAAACAATAATATACTTAAGGTTATTATACAAACAAAATAAGAGTATAATATAACAGTTTGCCACCCGAAATGAAACGTTTTCTTTAGTCAACTTGCCTCCCAAATTTTCACGGTTGTCGTCTCCACCTCCATGATGTCTGTGGTTGTCTCAATCGGTGAAATAGTCGTGTTGGAGGCTGTCGTCCCGAAGACTGAAGGTGTGGTTGTCGGAGTCACATCTTCTGAATCTGGCTGTGGCGTCGGGTAAGGAGCGAGGTTCCCTATACATTCCACGGTATCATCTGGAAAAGGAACATTATATCAAATGTCGATTGCTTTCTGTGGAAAAATATTGTTTTTCGGACTCTATAAAGTGAACAGTACCAAATTCTACTATGCTCATAACGTCTAAATACGTACGATGGTCCATATAATTTACAAAAGTACTATCTTAACAGGAGAATGGATTGTTAGGATGAATAATTAGCAACATTATTTATAATACAAACGGAACAGCAATCGTAACTCTAGATAAATATGGGAACGGAGACGTACCAGGATATGAACACTGCTGAGACTTCTCGTCGAAGAGGAGGGCGGCGGGACACGTGAAGATGGGGAAGTTCCAGTTGAAGCCATCCCAGATACAGTAGTAGTAGCTGTTGCAGTAGAGAGGGTGGCGACGGTACCGGTTGTCGTGGTAACACATGAGAGTGAAGGGTGGCGGGGCAGGACCAGAACCGCTCGTTCCCCCAGTGCTTCCTGGAACTCCAGCGCCCCCAGGACCACCAGGGAGGCCAACAGGAATGCCGCCAGCACCACCAGGAGTTCCAGCACTTCCAGGGGATCCAAGAGTTCCAGCACTTCCAGGCAATCCAGGAGTTCCAGCACTTCCAGGCAATCCAGGAGTTCCAGCACTTCCAGGCAATCCAGGAGTTCCAGCACTTCCAGGCAATCCAGGAGTTCCAGCACTTCCAGGTAATCCAGAAGTTCCAGCACTTCCAGGTAATCCAGAAGTTCCAGCACTTCCAGGAGTTCCAGTAATCCAGAAGTTCCAGCGCTTCCAGGCAATCCAGGAGTACCTGCACTTCCAGGAATACCAACGCTTCCAGGCACTCCAGCAGTTCCAGGGAATCCAGGAGTTACAGCACCTCCGGGAGTTCCAGCACTTCCAGGCAATCCAGGAGTTCCAGCACTTCCAGGCAATCCAGGAGTTCCAGCACTTCCAGGTAATCCAGAAGTTCCAGCACTTCCAGGTAATCCAGAAGTTCCAGCGCTTCCAGGCAATCCAGGAGTACCTGCACTTCCAGGAATATCAACGCTTGCAGGCACTACAGCAGTTCCAGAGAATCCAGGAGTTACAGCACCTCCGGGAGTTCCAGCACTTCCAGGCAATCCAGGAGTTCCAGCACTTCCAGGTAATCCAGAAGTTCCAGCACTTCCAGGTAATCCAGAAGTTCCAGCGCTTCCAGGCAATCCAGGAGTACCTGCACTTCCAGGAATACCAACGCTTCCAGGCACTCCAGCAGTTCCAGGGAATCCAGGAGTTACAGCACCTCCGGGAGTTCCAGCACTTCCAGGCAATCCAGGAGTTCCAGCACTTCCAGGCAATCCAGGAGTTCCAGCACTTCCAGGTAATCCAGAAGTTCCAGCACTTCCAGGTAATCCAGAAGTTCCAGCGCTTCCAGGCAATCCAGGAGTACCTGCACTTCCAGGAATACCAACGCTTCCAGGCACTCCAGCAGTTCCAGGGAATCCAGGAGTTACAGCACCTCCGGGAGTTCCAGCACTTCCAGGCAATCCAGGAGTTCCAGCACTTCCAGGCAATCCAGGAGTTCCAGCACTTCCAGGTAATCCAGAAGTTCCAGCACTTCCAGGTAATCCAGAAGTTCCAGCGCTTCCAGGCAATCCAGGAGTACCTGCACTTCCAGGAATACCAACGCTTCCAGGCACTCCAGCAGTTCCAGGGAATCCAGGAGTTACAGCACCTCCGGGAGTTCCAGCACTTCCAGGCAATCCAGGAGTTCCAGCACTTCCAGGCAATCCAGGAGTTCCAGCACTTCCAGGTAATCCAGAAGTTCCAGCACTTCCAGGTAATCCAGAAGTTCCAGCGCTTCCAGGCAATCCAGGAGTACCTGCACTTCCAGGAATACCAACGCTTCCAGGCACTCCAGCAGTTCCAGGGAATCCAGGAGTTACAGCACCTCCGGGAGTTCCAGCACTTCCAGGCAATCCAGGAGTTCCAGCACTTCCAGGCAATCCAGGAGTTCCAGCACTTCCAGGTAATCCAGAAGTTCCAGCACTTCCAGGTAATCCAGAAGTTCCAGCGCTTCCAGGCAATCCAGGAGTACCTGCACTTCCAGGAATATCAACGCTTGCAGGCACTACAGCAGTTCCAGAGAATCCAGGAGTTACAGCACCTCCGGGAGTTCCAGCACTTCCAGGCAATCCAGGAGTTCCAGCACTTCCAGGTAATCCAGAAGTTCCAGCACTTCCAGGTAATCCAGAAGTTCCAGCGCTTCCAGGCAATCCAGGAGTACCTGCACTTCCAGGAATACCAACGCTTCCAGGCACTCCAGCAGTTCCAGGGAATCCAGGAGTTACAGCACCTCCGGGAGTTCCAGCACTTCCAGGCAATCCAGGAGTTCCAGCACTTCCAGGCAATCCAGGAGTTCCAGCACTTCCAGGTAATCCAGAAGTTCCAGCACTTCCAGGTAATCCAGAAGTTCCAGCGCTTCCAGGCAATCCAGGAGTACCTGCACTTCCAGGAATACCAACGCTTCCAGGCACTCCAGCAGTTCCAGGGAATCCAGGAGTTACAGCACCTCCGGGAGTTCCAGCACTTCCAGGCAATCCAGGAGTTCCAGCACTTCCAGGCAATCCAGGAGTTCCAGCACTTCCAGGTAATCCAGAAGTTCCAGCACTTCCAGGTAATCCAGAAGTTCCAGCGCTTCCAGGCAATCCAGGAGTACCTGCACTTCCAGGAATACCAACGCTTCCAGGCACTCCAGCAGTTCCAGGGAATCCAGGAGTTACAGCACCTCCGGGAGTTCCAGCACTTCCAGGCAATCCAGGAGTTCCAGCACTTCCAGGCAATCCAGGAGTTCCAGCACTTCCAGGTAATCCAGAAGTTCCAGCACTTCCAGGTAATCCAGAAGTTCCAGCGCTTCCAGGCAATCCAGGAGTACCTGCACTTCCAGGAATATCAACGCTTGCAGGCACTACAACAGTTCCAGAGAATCCAGAAGTTACAGCACCTCCAGGAGTTCCAGCACTTCCAGGCAATCCAGGAGTTCCAGCACTTCCAGGCAATCCAGGAGTTCCAGGACTTCCAGGTAATCCAGGAGTTCCAACACTTCCAGGTAATCCAGCACTTCCAGGGGTTCCAGCACTTCCAGGTAATCCAGGAGTTCCAGCACCTCCTGAACTTCCGGGTCCAAGAACAACAACATTTCCAGGTCCAACACCACTACTTACTGATCCTGGAACACTACTAGTGCTTCCAGGGTACCCAGTACCACCTCCTCCAGGACCTCCACCTCCAGCGCCTCCAGCCCCTGCACCTCCAGGGTATCCACCAGCACCTCCAGCACTTCCAGGTAATCCAGAAGTTCCAGCGCTTCCAGGCAATCCAGGAGTACCTGCACTTCCAGGAATATCAACGCTTGCAGGCACTACAGCAGTTCCAGAGAATCCAGGAGTTACAGCACCTCCGGGAGTTCCAACACTTCCAGGCAATCCAGGAGTTCCAGCACCTGCACCTCCAGTGCCTCCAGCACCTGCACCTCCAGGGCCTCCAGCACCAGCACCTCCAGGGTATCCACCTGCACCTGCAGTACCTCCAGGGCCTCCAGCACCTGCACCTCCAGGGTATCCACCTGCACCTCCAGGGCCTCCAGCACCTGCACCTCCAGGGTATCCACCTGCACCTCCAGTACCTCCAGGGCCTCCAGCACCTGCACCTCCAGGGTATCCACCTGCACCTCCAGCGCCTCCAGCACCTGCACCTCCAGGGCCTCCAGCACCAGCACCTCCAGGGTATCCACCAGCACCTCCAGAGCCTCCAGCACTTCCAGGTAATCCAGAAGTTCCAGCGCTTCCAGGCAATCCAGGAGTACCTGCACTTCCAGGAATATCAACGCTTGCAGGCACTACAGCAGTTCCAGAGAATCCAGGAGTTACAGCACCTCCGGGAGTTCCAACACTTCCAGGCAATCCAGGAGTTCCAGCACCTGCACCTCCAGTGCCTCCAGCACCTGCACCTCCAGGGCCTCCAGCACCAGCACCTCCAGGGTATCCACCTGCACCTGCAGTACCTCCAGGGCCTCCAGCACCTGCACCTCCAGGGTATCCACCTGCACCTCCAGGGCCTCCAGCACCTGCACCTCCAGGGTATCCACCTACACCTCCAGTACCTCCAGGGCCTCCAGCACCTGCACCTCCAGGGTATCCACCTGCACCTCCAGCGCCTCCAGCACCTGCACCTCCAGGGCCTCCAGCACCAGCACCTCCAGGGTATCCACCTGCACCTCCAGTGCCACCAGCACCAGCACCTCCAGGGTATCCACCTGCATCTCCAGCGCCTGCACCTCCAGGGCCTCCAGCACCAGCACCTCCAGGGTATCCACCTGCACCTCCAGCGCCTCCAGCACCTGCACCTCCAGGGTATCCACCTGCACCTCCAGGGCCTCCAGCACCAGCACCTCCAGGGTATCCACCTGCACCTCCAGGGCCTCCAGCACCAGCACCTCCAGGGTATCCACCTGCACCTCCAGCGCCTCCAGCACCTGCACCTCCAGGGCCTCCAGCACCAGCACCTCCAGGGTATCCACCTGCACCTCCAGGGCCTCCAGCACCAGCACCTCCAGGGTATCCACCTGCACCTCCAGGGCCTCCAGCACCTGCACCTCCAGGGTATCCACCTGCACCTCCAGCGCCTCCAGCACCTGCACCTCCAGGGCCTCCAGCACCAGCACCTCCAGGGTATCCACCAGCACCTCCAGAGCCTCCAGCACTTCCAGGTAATCCAGAAGTTCCAGCGCTTCCAGGCAATCCAGGAGTACCTGCACTTCCAGGAATATCAACGCTTGCAGGCACTACAGCAGTTCCAGAGAATCCAGGAGTTACAGCACCTCCGGGAGTTCCAACACTTCCAGGCAATCCAGGAGTTCCAGCACCTGCACCTCCAGTGCCTCCAGCACCTGCACCTCCAGGGCCTCCAGCACCAGCACCTCCAGGGTATCCACCAGCACCTCCAGAGCCTCCAGCACCTCCAGGGAATCCACCAACACCTGCACCTCCAGCGCCTCCAGCACCTGCACCTCCAGGGCCTCCAGCACCAGCACCTCCAGGGTATCCACCTGCACCTCCAGCGCCTCCAGCACCAGCACCTCCAGGGCCTCCAGCACCTGCACCTCCAGGGCCTCCAGCACCTGCACCTCCAGGGAATCCACCAACACCTGCACCTCCAGCACCTGCACCTCCAGGGTATCCACCAGCACCTCCAGAGCCTCCAGCACCTCCAGGGAATCCACCAACACCTGCACCTCCAGGGCCTCCAGCACCTGCACCTCCAGGGTATCCACCTGCACCTCCAGTGCCTCCAGCACCTGCACCTCCAGGGCCTCCAGCACCAGCACCTCCAGGGTATCCACCTGCACCTCCAGTGCCTCCAGCACCTGCACCTCCAGGGTATCCACCTGCACCTCCAGGGAATCCACCAACACCTCCAGGGCCTCCAGCACCTCCAGGGAATCCACCAACACCTGCACCTCCAGGGCCTCCAGCACCAGAACCTCCAGGGTATCCACCTGCACCCCCAGGGCCTCCAGCACCAGCACCTCCAGGGTATCCACCTGCACCTCCAGGGCCTCCAGCACCTGCACCTCCAGGGTATCCACCTGCACCTCCAGGGCCTCCAGCACCTGCACCTCCAGGGTATCCACCTGCACCTCCAGTGCCTCCAGCACCTGCACCTCCAGTGCCTCCAGCACCTGCACCTCCAGGACTTCCAGCACCAGAACCTCCAGGGTATCCACCTGCACCTCCAGTGCCTCCAGCACCTGCACCTCCAGGGTATCCACCTGCACCTCCAGTACCTCCAGGGCCTCCAGCACCTGCACCTCCAGGGTATCCACCTGCACCTCCAGGGCCTCCAGCACCTGCACCTCCAGGGTATCCACCTGCACCTCCAGTGCCTCCAGCACCAGCACCTCCAGGATATCCACCTGCACCTCCAGGACTTCCAACACCTCCAGTACCTCCGGTACCTCCAGTTCCTCCAGTACCTCCGGTACCTCCAGTTCCTCCAGTACCTCCAGTTCCTACGGTACCTCCAGTTCCTCCAGTACCTCCGGTACCTCCAGTTCCTACGGTACCTCCAGTTCCTCCAGTACCTCCAGTTCCTACAGTACCTCCAGTTCCTCCAGTACCTCCGGTGCCTCCGGTACCTCCAGTTCCTCCGGTACCTCCGACGCCTCCCGGGACAGCGGGGCCATCTACACCAGGAGGCTCCGGTAGTGGCAAGTTTGCTACGGCCCCTGAACACTCTGGTGGATTCTTGACGGCTCTTGGGTGGTTACAGATGTCCAGGTCATCGTCAAACACTGTGCCAAAAGGACAATCGAATCGGTAGACGGAGAAACGCTTCTTGGTCCCCGAGAAGTCGACGCAGCGATAGAAATTGTGACAGGAGCCCGGCTGGGGAAAGAAGCCCTCCTCGGTGCAAGGAAGGCGAGCAGGCTTGGTCAGGCTGTTGCCTCCAGCCGTCCGCAGGTTCTTGAAGGAACCGACGCCAGACGTCTGCCGCCATATTGACGCCATCTTCGACGTCCTGCCCATCGATTTCAGGTGAGGCTCGTCCAAATTTCGCCCTGTCGACCACAAATAAAGTTATGCTTCTGATATAAGAGAACAATTTTTTATATTGATTTAATAGTTATTTCAATTATAAGACATAATCAACAAATCTACGGCTGCAAACATACGTTAATGCCAAACATCGAAGAAAAATGAGAATGTTGACCAGACCACACACTAGAAGTTGAAGGAACGACGACGTTTCGGTCCGTCCTGGAACATTCTCAAGTCGATTGTCAATCGATTTGAGAATGGTCCAGGACGGACCGAAACGTCGTCGTCCCTTCAACTTCTAGTGTGTGGTCTGGTCAACATACTTCAGCCACGTTATTGTGACTCATCGCCTGCAAAAATGAGAATCAAACGAGGAAGTAAAAGGCATGGTGGTGACAAGTACAGTAAACAAAAAGAAAAGAAAGGGATTTGGAATATGTAGAGGTATTGATGGCAGCTGGGCTGACACATTGGATTGGCAGCGAGAATACTGACTAGACCCCCGACAACTATATTCAATTGCGTGTTTAGAAACAAGGTAAATTAGTGAAATTATGAGGATAAAGCACCGAGCCATTACGACTATACTGCACTTGGGAGAGATATAAGACTTAAGTATTTAGGATAGGCATCAGGGAAGGAATGGTGCCCAACCACTTGGACGGTCGGGGATTGAACGCTGACCTGCAAGAAGCGAGACCGTCGTTCTACCGTCCAGTCCAATTGGCTTGGGGTTTTTAGAGACAAGAACTCATAACAACATGGAAATCAACTATGTCGCTAATATGACATAGTTAGTTTAGGACATAGTTTCCCTTATGCTGCGGAAATCATTTGGAAACTCCTGGGAACTATATTATATCTCATCAATGTCAGTGACCTTCCGCGCGGGTAGTTTTACATATTAATCACGGAGAACCATTAATAAGACCTAGAATGGCTGCAGAGTTAGTCAGTAAAACAGTTAATGTACTCGGGTACCTGCTAAAGTAAGGGGAGGAGAACCGGGTACTGATGACAGGGCATCAGCAGGACTGAACACGATAAAGAGGGGAACCAGTCTTCCAGAAACAAGGGGAAAAAACTTGAAGTAGATTCAACACAGTCTTACCCCTAAAAAGCCACATCAATAATACAGGCAATGAGTCACAATAACGTGGCTAAAGTATGTTGACCAGACCACACACTAGAAGGTGAAGGGACGACGACGTTTCGGTTCGTCCTGGACCATTCTCAAGTCGATTGTGACTTAAGAATGGTCCAGGACGGACCAAAACGTCGTCGTCCCTTCACCTTCTAGTGTGTGGTCTGGTCAACACATCAACAATATTTAAGCAACATATAAAAAAACTGTTGAGCACCCTGACAGCTTTTAGAAACCTTAATAAGAGAACATTCAGACTACTACACACTATCTACGTGAGACCATTCTTATAATATGCAGCCCCAGCGTGGTGTCCACACACCTTAAATAACACAAAGAAATTTGAAAAGGTGATGCGGAGAAGAATTACATAGAGCCAGCTCGCCTGAATCCACTCAAGGGTGTCCCCTTCTTAGTGTAGCAATACGAATGATTCAAGAAAGCGTAAAGGAAAGATCGAATTTGACTTGGTGCTTACCGAAGGCGACTGCGGCGAGCACTACCATCAGCAGGGTCTTCTTGCCCCCCATCGTCGCTCGGCCAAAATCCTGAAAAAAATAGGAAAACAATTAGTTTTTTCTTTGTCTTCAAGCTTTACAAATGTATTTATAACGTGCATTATATACTACGCGTGGCAACACGCCTCGAGAAGAGAACTCATTACGGAAGGCATCTCACCAAACTGAATCAGACACGGTTCATTGGTCACCGGATTGTTTTGATGGAACGCACACACTTAAGAGTGCGCCTACCTTGACTATTTAACACTTTAGCTGATAGCATGTGCCACTGGAGCGTGAAATAGCGGTATTCACAATACCTACTTCTACCGTGCCTCTGAGCACTGCTCTACACTACCATTGTTTCGTTTCTACCGAGCCTCTAAGCAGAGGTCTGGCACTGTTCTACACCACCATTGTGTCGTTACCAGTGCCGCATCGCTTTACCGCTCTCTACCCTGTCGTACAGCCTCCTACAATAACCTCCCCAGCAGTACTAACAACCGGTCGAGTAGTGCTAACTCCCAGTGAAGCAGTAATAACAGCAGTGCAAATTGTCGCCAGCCTGCCCAATCTCTCCCTCCGCCACCCCTTCGTGTTCCTCCCGCATGACGTCCGTCACGACTCGGAGGCGACTGACCCAGTTACAATCCCCGTGTAGTCCAGGCGTTGGAGAGCCTCTAAGAGGAGACTTGGTTCCCGCTCTGGTGATCCTGGGGGCCATCCGGCTCCTGGCGCCAGCACCGCTGTGATTGGGCCTCAGTTGTTGAGTTGTGGCGCATAACGGTCATAACTGATATACTGGAAACGAGCTTCTGAGTTCGAAAAATAGATGATCGCGCTTCACTTTGTAAATATTCGAATACACACATTGTTATTCAATTGTTACTATAACTTACAAACTTCTAGATGCTTGGAATTCTGAAAACAGGAGTGTGAATTGTGAAAACAAGATTATTGATTGATTAATTAACTGGAACAGAGACGTCACTGGCGTCAAGAAAATAGAGATATCAAATCTAACTTGTGCGTTAAGTTTAGAATCTTGGCTGAATTTTCCGGCAGGGAAAAGTCGGACCTTAGAGTTAATGCTCTGTTGCCAAGCCACAGAGCTTGATCACATGGGCTGATCCTCCGACGGCCAACTATTCTTAGTCTATCCCATATCCCTTTACCAAAAGACGAGCATCACACGTTTTAAGTGCTCGAAGGAAAGACTAAACATCTTACTTAAACGTAAAAGCAAGGCAAATCCAACAAGCCCCCCCCCTTCTTTATTAAATGTATATTTATTTGTTAAACTTTATCTATACATATTGATAGGCTAAATATTTGCTTCTAACTATACAATATTTACTCGTGTTGTATGGGTTTAGTCCAGCAGGGGTCGTACTTGTCAAACAAAAATTGCACACACCTAGTTGTGCTTGCGGGGGATGAGCTTCGGCTCTTTGGTCTCGCCTCTCAACTATAAATCAACTGGTGTACAGGCTGCCTGGTCGAGGACCGGGCCGCGGGGACGCTAAGCCTCGAAATCATCGCAAGGTAATCGCAAGGTAGGTAACCAGGTTCCTGAGCCTACTGGGCTCTATCATATATGTGTCGCTGGACAGTATGATGTGTTTGTGTGTTGTGAATGATATGTTGTGTATGATTTGTGTATAAAGAGTACACATGTGAGTGATGGAGGATGTATATTAAGTATATATGTTGATGTACGTGTGTTCAAGGGTAGATGTATATTAAGTGTGTAATTTGTGGATGCGTGTTGGGTGTGTGTAGAGTGGGGTGGGGTGGGGTGGGGGGGGGGGTAAATGTGGCGTGTGTGTGGCAGGGAGAAGGGCAGGCCATGGTGCGAGACGTAGCGGGGGATGAACACCTCCCACAGACACGACAGACGGGACACACCAGGCCGGACCACAGCCGGTGGGTTCAGCCTCGGGACTCCGGCGCTGACGAAGACGGAAGACGAGGTGTGGCTTTTAAGCAGAGGATTATAACAGACTTTATTCACACACCTCAATTTAACTAGTAGAGAAACCTCGATTCCAGAAAAGAAGAGGAAATGTGATATAGAGGGAGCACTAGGGCGGAGCACAAGCGGTCAGAATACTTGAGAGAAGAGCGTACCAGACAGCTCATCCCTTCCTCGTCGGCTGCTCTCACCGCCGTAGTTATTACTGCTATAATTGGAAGCTCCGTTAGGCAGGTAACATTGGGTGCTTGCGGTGTTAAGGAGCGTAATCATATCTGGATGAAAAAAGCGAGCTCCTGTTCCTGGGCACCGCTTTTCAGACGCCGGTTACCTATGGCAGTGCTTCCCGACCCTCTTATAGGTCCGTCTTATCACAATTGCTGGTAAAACTTTGCGTACTTTTAGCCTCAGCTACCTTCCTTGTTATCTCACTCCACTCACTACTCTTACACCGAAGTGTTTTTTTACGTTCCTGTGCCCAACCACTTGGGCTGGACGGTCTCGCTTTATGCAGGTCGGCGTTCAATCCCCGACACACGACTTGATAATGGTCTAGGACGGCCTGAAACGTCGTTGTTTCTCCATCTTCTGATGTCTGTGGTTTGGTCATCGTATCTTCAGCCCCGTTATTATGACTCATCGTCTTCCGGTAGCATCCCCACCCAGTCCCAAATATCATCACTTTGTGCTCCAGGTTTCCGACTATGTCCCTTTGTCCTACCTTATCTTAACCTGAACATTTCTTCGTCAACCTGATCAATTCTCCTGAAAATCATATAGGTTATTATCATGCCTCCTCTAATGAACAAGGATTCAATGCCTCCTCTACTCTGTCTCTCCTCGCATGAGCTGCGTCAGGATCTCCTCATTCGTTTAATCCTCACAGTTCGGGACACTGTTTCACTACATACCACCATAATTTTTCTAGTTGTGCTCCATATTTATTTAGTTTAGGGATTCCATGCTGGTGCGGCATACTCTAAGATTCCCTTGCATTCTAATGTGTACCTGTTCACAAATGTTGATATTATCCTATTTGTGTAAGCCTACGGCTGCTTGGCTAGGGGTGATATTGATTCGCAAGAGTTTTTGTTGATATTTCAGGCAATCATTCGCTTTACGTCCAACCACTTGGTCTGGACGGTAGAGCGATGGTCTCGCTTCGTGCAGGTTGGCATTCAATCCCCGACCGTCCAAGTGGTTGGGCACCATTCCTTTCCCCCGTCCCATCCCAAATCCATATTCTGACCCCCTTCCAAGTGCTACATATCCGTAATGAAATGGCACTTTACCCTGATAGTTCCCTTCCCTACCCGCTTTTCGATTTGTATTGTTCAGTGGGTCTTCTTGTGGCTTTCCCAAATCTTCTAAACTTGCCCTCTTGGTAGCCGCTGAGTTACGTGAGGTTTCCGCAACAGGTAGTCTGTGAGAGTGATATCTTAGATATTGATGGAGGCTTCATTAAGGCTTGAGCAAAGAGTTTTCGAAATAGATCTGGAAAATTCTGGAGTTGGCTGGGGCAGGGTACACATGTCTCGGTGGTAAAGGAGTGTTGGTGAACAGGTTTTGGGGGCAGGGTAGTGGTATCAGTGGTAGGGTTAGGTAATTATGGTGGGGGTAAGGTGAAGTAGAGATTTTGGGACATTGTTGATTTACCGATAGTGGGGCAATGTAGCTGTACCGGTAATGGGGCAGCGCCGTTGTACTGGGCTTGGCTGAGGGTAAGTGGTTGGTTTATGGGGAGGGGTTGCTTGAGGAGGGGTTGGCAAACGGGGAGGAGTTGCTTGAGGAGGGGTTGGCAAACGGGGAGGGGTCGAGGTGAAGTGTAACAGATGGTGCGGTCGACGGGAAGAACAGGTGGTCCCTGGGGTGATCTGGCATGGTTCCCCCTTGGGTGATGCACGCCATAATTGGTCACAAGCGGATGAGTTCTCCTTGAGATCTTCAAATAATAACAGGGGGATACACAGAGCAGCTCAGCCCCACTCACGCCTGCCTGGACGTACCGTATCTAAATGCTGGCTATATTCCGACGCTGAGACTATTACTCGGAACGCAGAATATCCAAAGCGAATGCAATTAACACAGAGCGACGCGTAATTATTGGCGTCCGCGCTCTCTTCCATTTTCTGTGGTTGGAGACAAGGGGTACCTCTTGTAAAGTATTCTTTGCATTACATTTCTTAACCTAAACAAACTATTATTGAATTTAGGTGCTCAGAGTAACGTTGGCATGAAATTAGTCTGGCAATATATGGAATATGTATTCAATTTTTTATTTATTTAATTATCATTTTCGTTTACCAGGAAGCAGTAATTTTGTGGCGAAGCTTCCCTTTAAGCGAGTCCCTCCGACTCGAGCCTCAACCCTCACTTTTCTAACATGCCAAAATTGAGCAAAGAAAATTGGATTTTTTTTATGGGTCTCTTAAGTGCGTTTTTTTTCTGTGTTGCCTCCTGGTGTTGACATTTTATGGCTTTGGGATGACATTATACAGGCCATCCTGGAGGAGGTGATGACGTCTCATCTCAGCAACTCTCCATTACTTCTTCAGCTCGTGTCAGCTTAAAGCCATATAACATCTGTTAAGATGGAAGGTATTGTAGTATTAAGTACTACCTAAGTGAGGTTCATAATATTATTATATTATCGATGCTCTTATGTTTTATAAGTATTTGTGTGTACGTCTGATACCATACTACTTGTGAAGGAGGAAATGTATATGTTTATCTCTCAGAATGTTTGGTAATATGTTTATTGTTTGTGATGTGTGTCTATGTATGTATTAACACGGTGTACTGAACGGGGTGAGAATAGCTTGAGCTACCTCATTCCTTTGTGTGTATTTTACATCAATAAACTTATTTCAATTTCAATTTCAATTTCAATATGTTTTATAAATACTCTATGTTTGCACTTGGTATTTATGGAGTTGATCGAGGCGTTGTTTTAGAGTAAACGTGCGGACTCAACGATATAAACAAATAAACTCAACGATATAAACTAAGTAGATGTTTCCAATGGATGAAAAGAGTACCTATGATTCTCGTATTATTCAAAATAAGCAAAATT